CACGATAAATCTGTCATATTTGAGGTGGTCGTTCTCTCCCATGTTTTTCTCCAGATATTTCTCAAAATGAGGATTCGGGTCAGTGCAGATCACCTTAGAACCGGGCGGATAAAACTCAAAATTTGCGCCGGTGCCGCAGCCAATCTCCAAAATTGTTAACTGTCCGTCAGGATTTTTGAACTCGGGGAGGTTGAGAAACAGCTCCTTCTTCTTGCTGTATATTCTCTGGTTTACGAGTACAGCAACCCGATACATAAAACATGTGAAGAAACGTTTGTATAATGCATACAGGCCAACCGCATAGATCAGGTGAAGCGGCAAGCATAACACATTTACAACACAAGTACAAAACCTCATTAGAAAACTCATTTTTGCTGAGTCTGACCTTAGTAGCAAACAGCTGCATCTACATCAGACTGGGAAGTTAACTCCTGCTACAACAACAGAGGACGTCCGGCGCAGATTTTCAAAATAAAGGTCGACGACCCAGTCCTTCCACATACAGAGGTGAAAAACAGTAAGTGGCGCTTTCGCTTAGCGATATCGTGTCGTTCGTGTGTAAGGGCTCATTGACAGAATATTGGTTCGAAAATTATTATGGTCGTGCGGACAAAAACGTACAAAAATTTGCCTCCAGTGTGAAAAGACGTTAACTGGGAATCCATAGACATAAGCGCGAACTTTACGGAAGCGTGGCGAGTCACAGGCACTATTTTTAATATGATCCAGAGTCCAATGATCCAAAGTCCAGAGTATGATAAGCAGTGTGCATGTGTCTGTATATTCAAACTACTCAAGACTCGAACTCAGTTATTCAAAGACTCGAACCAGTTCTCTCGATCCAGCTTTGGTAGTGTTAGGTAATTTCTTAGTCAGATAGATATTGATTAGATACTTGTTGTATTAGGAATGTTTAGCGGAGCCAGGCTGTCTAGCTCAGGCTGTTAAATGCTTAGTCATTGGCATGAGTTCTGCAGGCTGCATATATGCCAAGGTCAACTAAATAGAGAGAGTCTGCAGGCAGGAGGGTATTGCTATTATTATGATATGTTTAGCCGTAATCTTAATCATAATATCTTCCGAGGCTTAAAGTCCGGACACGGCCCCTAATG